AACATAGATCAATGCATGGGAGGAGAATCTGTGAGTGAGCCGTTTTGTCCTATTTTCCCAGCATTTTCGTATTTGGCAATTTTTTTGCTAATGACGCTTCTTTTTATAGAAGAATCGCAAATCAGCACGAACGTGGTGGATCGGCGAACTTCGAAAGTATGGCGAATGGCACCTCGATTCGTTGCGAGACTGTTCGGGGCGTACCTAGGGCGAGTACTTTATTTTACCTAGAGCCTTTTTAAAAGCTTTGGTTATGCGAGAAAAAAATGGTGACAGGAATTTGATAGAGACCACATCTCTGATTAAAGCTAATGCATATTTCATGTACCATTTCTAGGTCGGATGTACCCAACATTCATTTACGTACCGATATTAGCTTTCGCAAATTCTTCACTGTAGAGAAGCGAGAACCTACTTGGTAATTATGCCCACAGTTTAATGTGTGTAAATGTACACCATCCATACACTTTCTATATATTGTCTATTTGCTGTATATGATTCACCTTTTCTTCACATATATTGAAGTACTAGTGATTTTTGATTTGATTGAAATCTCAATTTTTGAATATTGTAGAATGTGATTTTTTTGCGTACAATTAATCATAAGAAAATCAACCAATAACCACAACAAACAGATAGATATTGAAAAGGAAGAAGTCGTGCACCGGTATCAACTGACTACCCGACTCCAAAATTACTGGTTCGCAATTCCTCCATAGGCTGGCAGTTTCACCATTACGGGTGGGCGACTCATACTTTTGCAGTTCGCCGATCCACCAACTTCGCCGGGATTTGCAATTACTAGAAAATAAAGCATACGTAGCAAAAAATCTGCCAAATACGAAAATGCTTTGAATAAAAGAGAAAAAAAACGTGGCTTTCCACTCACAGATTCTCCTTCCACGTTTTGATTTATGTCTATTTCTTGCTCTACCTCTGCATAAAAGGTTCAAGCCGTTTCCATCATGGATCGTTGTTGTATTGATGAATTGTTTCATCGCTGCATCAAGCTTTGAACGACACTCGTCAAACACGCTTTTCACCACATCCGGAAGCTGAGGATTGCAGGTTTGCATTTATGCGGGAGAAAATTCATAGAAGTGAATTTACCTGCTCTAATTTTGCAGAAATTTCCTGAGCACTCTTTACCCTCCTCTCAAGCTCGTCATGAGAAATGAGAGTTTTGATTTGCATATCGGTTTCGATTAGTTCAAATGCGCGGAGTATATCGCGGGTGTTCTGCGAAGAAACTATGAGTACAAAAATTCGCACCATGAAAATGTGACCTTTCGAATAACTGGCCCCGAAAATGCACTGTACAAGTTTTGATTTATGTACAACACCAAGCCCAACGCTTTCAAAAACAATAGTACACATTATGTTTCTTCTAGAAAAGAACTGCAACACAAATCCAGGTATTCTGAAGTTTGTGGCCAAGATAAGATGTTCTGCTACTGTACCGTTCTGTACTGGTACTATTCTGCTACCAACAGAAATCTTTTCGGCTCTATGTAAGCTCGCAGAACCCTAT